GCTACTAACGATGTATAGACGTTCCATGTACCTTATCTTTCCTCCCTCTTTCCGTTTTCAGCTCCAGCGGATGTGAGTTGCGAGGATGCCCAGAGGATGCAGAGAGGATACAGCGGATGTTTAACGGATGATAACGGACATATAACGTTTGTTGCTCGTATTTGTGGCGGATTTTCATCGTACACGGCGGAAGTTCATCCTTTCTAAAAGCTTTGTGCAGCTCAAAACTTTTTGCGCGGATGAAATCACAGTGGACGGATGCTCGATGGATAGAGCGTATGAAACACGCATGCAATGAGTACACAACGGATGCATAGCGTTTTCCAACGGATGGCAAGATATTTTTACGTTTTACATCCTCTTTGCATTCCTAAGTGCAGTGGGACCGGGCCTTAAGTAATAAAACCAATGTCAAAACTGTGCTCCACATGGCAAAATGTAATAAAAGGGAAGTTTGAGAATTCGTTAACAATATGTTGCGTAATGCATTAACCCCATTTGCAGGCCAAAAATAAGAAAAGGTTAAATTCCAACGGCATTTGAAAATACTAATTTAGAACTTGCCTAAAAAGAGGGGCTTGAAAATGTCATTAAGTGGGAAAATAACGACTATTAGTTGTCGAATCTGATTTTCAGACCATCGTACCGAATGGTCGTACATTTTATGCTGTGCAAAGATTCAATCAGTTTAATTTGGGCCATTACAAGAAGTGGGTTATTGATGTAGACAAATGCTCATGTACCATTTACAGCTCATTTTATGTATGTTATTACCAAAGAAGAAATAAAGCCTGTCAGTCACTCGATAGTGTCTGACAGTGAAGTCTATCACAGATAGGACATACATGACATAATGCCTGCAAAGTTCTACAGAATTTGATGTTGGCTGCAAAAGGGATATAGTATCTTAACTGACATGTGCAGGTTTCAGGAATGCCAAGCTCTTTTTTATTCAAAGAAATTGATGTATTTCCATGTAACTTCTTTCATTCGCGAGCTCTCTTATTTGAATATTTACATTTGCAGTTGTAATACAAAAGCACATGTAAATACATGATTAATTACATGCAAAATAACCCCCCGAGCTAGGTTGATAAGTATGCATAATCTCTGGCAGTTCTTCACAGGCAAACAAGGAGTGAACACGTGTTTTGTCATGCTCTCTGCAAGATAGTAGGGACTTTTAGATTTGCGTGGACTGATACGTGGTACTTCCATTCAAATCAGTTCTTTAAAAGGACGTCGATCGCAGCATAGACCTATTGTCTTCGTGCGAATCTAAAAGTCCCTAGTGCCACACACTATGAACGTGACTGACAAAGAAAGCAGACAAAATATACAGTTCCTCAGGTAGACAAAGGAACAACCCTTCACTGCTATTATGTAAAAATGTGTAGAACAGGTGTCACATGCATATTCACCTGTTTACATAATAGCAGTGAAGGGATGTTCCTTTGTCTACCTGAGGAACTGTATATTTTGTCTGCTTTCTTTGTCTGTCATGTTCATAGTGCCACACCTAGCCTTGGCTGCAAAGGCCAGCCTACAATATTTGTCATGATTATGGATACATTTGCATGAATTAGCATATTATTCCTTTGTGTTACAAAGTTATTAAGTCTTGAACTACATGTGCATGTAGCCCTAGATTTATCAAGTGAACAGAAAGAAGAAAAAAAAAGATCAACAAATGGGAGCAGCATTTTATTACAATTTCTATTAACTGTGAATAATTCATACTAAAGGATAAATAACCCCCAAGAATAAGTGTAGCTAATCTGAAAAAGAGACAAATTCCCGTTTTTAAAAATAGTAAAATATAGCGGTTGAAAAATCTATTGAAGTTATTTATTTATTGATCTAAGTTTCAAAGCCTGAAATGACGATTTTAATTTTAGCTAAAGAAGCATCAAATTAAAAACCATTTACTGCTAATCTTAATAATTTTCACAACTAGGGAAGAAAGTTGACCCAAAATTGTTGTATGAATACATATTGCACAAAGATACAAATTTTGCTGAGGTAGATGTTAAGCATCAGAAGAAAAAAAACAACAGAACTTACTTTTTTCTTACTTTAATTAATTAAGTAACTCCCTTGTAGTCAAACGATCTCACAGTATTTGTGTGCGTGTAATATGGGGGTACAAGAAAGTACACAAATATATCTGTCCCATGATTGATAACAACAAAAAGGAGCATGTATAAGTTAGAAATACAGATGGAAATAATATAGAAAAAATAACTCCTGATGAGGCTTTAAGCACAATCTAATTATATGATACTGAAATACCATATAAATGAGAGCCAGCTTTGGGTGAAATTTTTATAAAATAGTTGGGTCTTAAAGGTACTATGTCCCTTTTGCAGCCAACCTCAAATGCTGTAGAACTTTGCAGGAATTATGAATATGTCATGTATGTCCTATCTGTGAAATTTAAACGTAATTAGCAGTGTCCTAATATTCAAATTATGCAAGGAAACCCGTTTACTTGCTAGACTTCACTGTCAGACACTATTGAGTGACTGACTGTCTTTTTTTCTTCTTTGGTAATAACATACATGAAAAGAGTTGTAAAGGGTACATGAGCATTTGTCTACATCAATATTACATCAATAACTGATTGAATCTTTGCGCAGCATGACGTATGACCATTCGGTACAATTGTCTGAAAATCAAGACTATTACTTTTGGGCTCTATAGCCCTAAAGTCGATTTGACAACTAATAGTCGTTATTTTCCCACTTGAAGACATTTTCAAGCCCCACCTTTTTTTAGGGAAGTTCTTAATGAGTATTATCTTTCAAATGCAGTTGGAATTTAACTTTTTCATTTTTTTGGCCTGCAAATGGGACATAGTACCTTTAATCGCTTTGAATTAGTTACTGTAGCACATTCTATGAGAAAAGTAAAAGGGGGCACATACCCAAAGGGAAAATTAGCACATGTTAAATTCAAAGGGGAATTACCAGAGGTGAAAGTAAGGTGCTCCATCACTTAATAAGGGGCACTCACCAGAGATGAAAAAGGCTCTTATCACAAGGGAAAAGGGGGCAATTATCAGAAGGAAAATGGCACTTATTAGAAAGGATATGGAGCACGTGTCAAAATAAAAGGGGCAATTATCAGAGATGAAAAAGGGGACTTATAAGAATGAAAAGATCTCATGGACATCTATCACCATGCCAAATTTGGAATGTATCAGAGTTTCTATTGCTGAGTTCTTGGGGGGGGGGGGGGGGGGGGGGGAAGAGGGCTTTTAGCCCCCCCCCCCCCCCCCAGTTTTGATGAAGGTTAAAATAGCCCAGTCTTTTTAGGGTTAACATGTCTGGTGTGCAAACTTATAAAAAAAAACACCTTGTTTACTCTTTATAATAGAATGGGCTCAGGCTGAAATGAAACTGAACAAGCTTATACAAGATTGGTTTCAGAGGACCGGAAAGAGACTACCAGGTCTGCAATCTGTCCACATCGGCACGAAGACGAAAGCTCACCACTTTTTACTGAAATCAAAGTACAGGTCCTTGTTCAACATACTTCTGAAATCAACAGCAGCCAGAGATGCCATGACCACCACTACTAAGGTTGAAATCAGAAAAGAAATGGCATACCTACAACAAAAAAAAACCTCTACCCCAGGAACCCCAAGAAGGCCAAGTTCGATTGGACAACTTTTCTCCACAAGATTCAGGTTGCAGCACCCACCCTATACAGTGTTGTAGAAGCTGCAATGACAAAAACAAAACAGAGGTATGAACATACAAACAATTCAATTATATGTCACCTAATAGAGAAAGAAAAACAAATCATAACATTGTAGTAATTTGACAAAGTTTTTCCTATCTCGCATTTCAAATCAAATTTAAGAATCTACTTACATTTCAAAGAAAAATTTATGTAAATTTTAAGAGATGAATGTGACTGAATCCTTAATAAGCCTCCATTGATTTTCAATTAATGAATACTCCTTTAGCTTTTAACATCTGACCTCATTATCTCTTAATCCTTTTAGTTATTGGTTGTTCTTGAGCAAGCTAAGTTTAGTTGAAATTGCCTCAACAATTCCTAAGTTGTCACTGTAATGAGATTTCTTCTAATTATCTTGTCATTCTTTTACAATTTTACGACCTTTGGCTTATACCGTCCAAATACTATTTGGCACATCATTACATTCTCATAAACATGTCAAGGAGGGGAAGCTGGTCTTAATGACAAATAAAAACGAGAGAAAAAGATTTGTGAAAGTTTGAGGAATATTTAGTATAAAATAAGTTATCAACATTTTGTAAATGTGTTAATAATAATAATAATAATATGGATATTTATATAGCGCCGGTATATAACATAAATTGCCAACTCCATAACATACTTTTCATGGATCTCTCCCATTAGTTTGTGCTGGAGTTTCCATAGAATCTCATTTTCTTGGTTGTTGAGGAAGGGTTACATTTATATCAAAAGCTGTGCAAAATATATATATTGCAATAAAACTATTAAGAGTGCATGGAAATTAATGAATTGTTTAGTTCAGAGCAAATTTTTAATAAAAGACACAATAATTTGAACTAATAACATTAGTGTTCAACTATAATTCATGTTCATCTTTGGATATTATGTAACAACAAGAGAAACTATTTTCTATCAGATAAGACAGAGATGTGAAGAAGGGAAGATAAGGATTAATATGACCATATCAGTCAATATGGCTATAATACATTATAATGCATGTAGATGTATATCAATATAATCCTTAAAATTATATGTTCATAGCGTTCATAATAGACTTGTGTTCTATAATTATGTAAACTAATTTACCAGATACCCCATTTTCATTATTCAAAATTTAATCTGCATAATGCGATGTACCTATTTTCTTTTCAACATTATCCAATAGATCAGCGCAGCTAGCTAGCTAGCTGTTCTGAATTTTTTTAGCAAGCGCCCTCAACGTTTGATCACAATAAGGTCAAGGAAAAAATGTAAAAATTCTACCACTAGAGTCTACTTGTACTTGTACTGGCTGAGCAGAAGCTGGTATTGTTAGCTTCATATTTTGCAGACAAAAAGGTGGTGTAACATTGAAGATCCTCATTATGTTAGTCAGACATGATGACGACCCTTCTAAGATGGAAAAAAGTGAAATTTGCAATTATAGCAGTCATCATACTGTTCCTTTTGTCGCTGTTTTGTTCGCTGCAAATGCAGGTGAGTTTTCGAGCGGAACACCGAGAACCTCCCTCCCGTCGCACCCGGGGCGCGGGGTCGGCCAATATAATCCTACAATGCATATGCATAATTATGCTTGAAGTCTAGTCTAATTAGTTTATAATATAATAAACAGTATCATGTTGGGTCGGCAAGGATACAATTTCATGATTGGTACTTTTCAGGTGGTGGCCGCGATCGTTTGTCTGTTTGTATGAATGATAATTGATCACTGATGTTGAGTTGTTGATGAGAATCAGAATGTCAATCCAACTTCCATGACAACAAGTTACCTTTTTGTTATTAAGTTTTATCTTGTTTGAATCTATTTGATTCCAAATGCTGAATTCGTATCAAGAATTTTTAGAAATAGAATAGATATTACTTTGATATTTATCATTAATATAATAAGGACTTGTTAAAGAATTTGGGGCACTAAATTTTGTTAGATGTCTGTTGTCTTTGAATTGCTCTTTTAAAGACAGTTAACATTTACAAAAACAGAATGAAATATTTGTTTTCAAATGTAGTATTAGACCTTGACCTACAACCGTAGTAAATTATAAAATTGGCCTCTCTTTTCCCATGATTTAGGCTGTAGGATGGGATGAAGAAATAATCTACACAGGAGATGGACCTTTCTGGCAGATGGAGGATGTGGAATATGGAGGGAAGCAAGTGGACATGGGTGAGTATTAGAGACTTCGATTGAAAGCGCTTTATAAGCAATGCTTTATGAGCACCGTTTTTATTATTTATTTTTATTAAAATGATGGCGATGATGACAATTGATGTCTGATGATGATGAGGGTATCGCTTTGATCATTGGTGATGCATTGGATGGTGTGGTGATGATGATGAGGGTATCGCTTTGATCATTGGTGATGCATTGGGTGGTGTGGTGATGATGATGAGGGTATCGCTTTGATCATTGGTGATGCATTGGATGGTGTGGTGATGATGATGAGGGTATCGCTTTGATCATTGGTGATGCATTGGGTGGTGTGGTGATGATGATGAGGGTATCGCTTTGATCATTGGTGATGCATTGGGTGGTGTGGTGATGATGATGAGGGTATCGCTTTGATCATTGGTGATGCATTGGGTGGTGTGGTGATGATGATGAGGGTATCGCTTTGATCATTGGTGATGCATTGGGTGGTGTGGTGATGATGATGAGGGTATCGCTTTGATCATTGGTGATGCATTGGATGGTGTGGTGATGATGATGAGGGTATCGCTTTGATCATTGGTGATGCATTGGGTGGTGTGGTGATGATGATGAGGGTATCGCTTTGATCATTGGTGATGCATTGGATGGTGTGGTGATGATGATGAGGGTATCGCTTTGATCATTGGTGATGCATTGGGTGGTGTGGTGATGATGATGAGGGTATCGCTTTGATCATTGGTGATGCATTGGGTGGTGTGGTGATGATGATGAGGGTATCGCTTTGATCATTGGTGATGCATTGGGTGGTGTGGTGATGATGATGAGGGTATCGCTTTGATCATTGGTGATGCATTGGGTGGTGTGGTGATGATGATGAGGGTATCGCTTTGATCATTGGTGATGCATTGGGTGGTGTGGTGATGATGATGAGGGTATCGCTTTGATCATTGGTGATGCATTGGGTGGTGTGGTGATGATGATGAGGGTATCGCTTTGATCATTGGTGATGCATTGGGTGGTGTGGTGATGATGATGAGGGTATCGCTTTGATCATTGGTGATGCATTGGGTGGTGTGGTGATGATGATGAGGGTATCGCTTTGATCATTGGTGATGCATTGGGTGGTGTGGTGATGATGATGAGGGTATCGCTTTGATCATTGGTGATGCATTGGGTGGTGTGGTGATGATGATGAGGGTATCGCTTTGATCATTGGTGATGCATTGGGTGGTGTGGTGATGATGATGAGGGTATCGCTTTGATCATTGGTGATGCATTGGGTGGTGTGGTGATGATGATGAGGGTATCGCTTTGATCATTGGTGATGCATTGGGTGGTGTGGTGATGATGATGAGGGTATCGCTTTGATCATTGGTGATGCATTGGGTGGTGTGGTGATGATGATGAGGGTATCGCTTTGATCATTGGTGATGCATTGGGTGGTGTGGTGATGATGATGAGGGTATCGCTTTGATCATTGGTGATGCATTGGGTGGTGTGGTGGTGATGACGAGGGTATCGCTTTGATCATTGGTGATGCATTGGGTGGTGTGGTGATGATGATGAGGGTATCGCTTTGATCATTGGTGATGCATTGGGTGGTGTGGTGATGATGATGAGGGTATCGCTTTGATCATTGGTGATGCATTGGGTGGTGTGGTGATGATGATGAGGGTATCGCTTTGATCATTGGTGATGCATTGGGTGGTGTGGTGATGATGATGAGGGTATCGCTTTGATCATTGGTGATGCATTGGGTGGTGTGGTGATGATGATGAAAAATTGGTAGTGATGATGATGATGGGATGGGGTGGTAATAATGATAGTGATGGTTAGGAGGAGGAGGAGGAGGAGGAGGAGGAGGAGGAGGAGGAGGAGGAGGAGGAGGAGGAGGAGGATGGGAATAGTAATAATCGATGATGATGATGATGATGATGATGACAGTGATGATGATGATGATGAGGAGGAGGATGATGGGGAAAGTGATACATGGTGATTGTGATGATGATGATGATGATTAAAGTGATGATGGTGACAGTGATGATAGTAATGATGGTAGTGATGATGATGATGAAAATGGTGGTGGTGATGGTGATGGTGCTTACCGGTATGAATTTTTCAAACTACATGTGCAGCAAAGCTATGGCAAATAACAAATTGTATCCCTATATTCAAAGTGGCAACAGCCACAGTATTACACAGTTCATGTTTAAGAGAAAAATCAATTGGTAAAGTTAATAGGTAAACTATTTACTGTAAATGTATTTTACATGAGGTTCCCAAGAAAGTCGTGAGACTAATATTGTCATATTTACAGTAAAATACAAGAAAACATGAAATAAGGTTGAATAAATTTTTCATTTATATACATTGTATACAGGTGTAGTACAGTAGTTCAATAACATCTGAAAAGAAGGATGTGACTTCATGCATTAAAAAAAGACAATATTAAACAGTAATTATTACATTGAATTCAATTGGATAGATTGTCTGGATTTATAAACAGAATGTAAGAATTCACTGAAATGTGATGGTAATCATTAACTTAATTTACAGCTGATGTTTGCAACTTTGCACATTACATGAAATTAGGGATCCCTGATGAGACTATTTATACATCATATTAACATGTAATGTATTATCTGAATCTAAGTGCCCATTACTCAGCTATAGTTCTGTCAAAATTGTTTTTGCGAATGTAGTGTTGTGGTACAGACAGTACTTCACATGTGCTTGCACTGTGTACATACATGTACATTGTACATATTTTTTTGTACACATTTTGGATATTTTGTTGTATTGTTAGAATACATTTGGTAGATTCTGATAACTTAAAATTACCTTTTAGTCAATAAAATGTTTTGTATATTAATTCTATGTAAGTCTGTTCCCTTCACATCAAAGTTCAAATCCATCTTAAATCTTTGAATATTTTTCTTTAATGAACGTGCTCTAAAGTCTAAATAGGTCATGCCTGTATTAAAAATGACTGCATCTAGAAGGCTTTAGGGGGTATACAGGGTGAACTTGTAAGAGACCTGCCCAGCTCATGACTAAGTAAACTGCGCTTATTAGTAAGCTTTGATATGGGTGCTTAGGATACACAGGTTCTATCATGATGATGTCATCGATCTGAGATGTGTTTACATTATCCCAAGTTCATTACTGATATGCAGTTCTGTACACTATACCTGTTACATAATTTCTGCATCAACACACAATAATGAATATGTTTATGCCTTGAGAGTTCATAAAGATGTCAAATTGGTCAGTTGTGATCTGGAAAATTCTATAGTTCTGTGTCTGTATTACATCTGTATAAAACATGCAGACTATCTACTTGTACATTTCCTTGTATTCAGGAAAAAACTTGAAATGGAAAATGGAAATGTGATTTTGTGATACTTCTGGAATTCGGCATCTCTGATTTAATGGAAGTTTGTTCACATTATCTGAAGTTTAGGAAGATGTCAAAATGGATCAATTGTGATATATGGAAATTTCGTGGAGCACTGCTGACTAAAATATCTAAATCATTAACTAGAATGTGCATATTTTTACCACAAGCACTTGAGGATGTCAACATGCATCATGATCTGGCAAATTTGTGGAAAACTGTCTGCTTTTGTGTCATGATGTCATCTCACTAAAATGTGCTTGCATTATATGACAAATATGTGAACATGTCTACATTCATCAGTGATGACCTGGTAGATTTAGTAGGTCTTTACTTTTGTGTCATCCTCACGTGAAAGTGTGTTCACATTTAATCCAAAGTTCAGTGAGCCTACTTGATGGATTAGTGGCAATCTGTTACATTCACAGTGTTGTGAAATGTCTCTGTTCACACCAGTCCCAACTCCCAAATGTTGGAAAGAAAATGTGCAGAACCTCTATGCTATTGGATATTGCCAGGTCTGAGAGAGTCTGGAAAAATCAACAAGTGCTTTTTTTTCTTCTGCACTTGACATTTAGTAAATAGTCCGTGACTTTTTGGCATACATGTACAATTTTGTTTAAATAAATATGGACACATGATATACCTGAAAAAAACACACAGCTATATTTACATGTATTGTGTAGTCAATAATACTTCAATACAATGGCCCTTCAGAAGGAGGTATTTGCACAAGATATATCATCTTGTATAACAAACTTTGGGAAGGAAGTACACATGGTTGGTTGTATACTATTTTCACACTGTATGACAGCCAGGCAACTGCAATTTTCTGTTGAGTGCTTTTATGATACAGACCTCTCTAAACACTTTTAAACAGCATACATGTTGATAATGTATACAGTCAGTGTTCTGGGTTTTCACACAAGAAAATAACTTAGACCCCGTTCTCATTCACTTCGTTGGAGCGGTCTAACTAAGACCCGTTCCTCAGGAGCAGTTCTTAGGTGAGTGAGAACGGTCAAAGTGGTCCAGGAAGTGAACTTCTGGACCGCTCCAGAAGACCACCTCGGGAGGTGGTCTTGAGGAACGGGTCTTATTAAGAGCGGTTTGGACCGCTCTAACGTGCAATGTGAACGGAAGCGTACTTTGACCGGAAGTGAGCTAGTGACGTTCCGTGCGAAACATGTAGTACGGTACATACGGTACATACGGTTTGTATTCCGCACGCGAAAAAATTGACCTGCTGACCTGAGCTGCCATAGCAACAAGACTACTTTGACTCGTGGAGCGGTTTGAGCCATAAAAAACTGCTCGGAGTGTGAACGCTCGCAAACCGTTCCTCAAGACCCGTTCCTTCGGAGCGGTCTAACTAAGACCACTTTCAAAGTGAGTGAGAACGGGGTCTAAATATTTAAACATTACTTCCATTTAATATTGATAGACACCATAACACCATAGTTTCAATATCTGAAAAGGGATTATGATGACATTTCTGAAGTTACAGAATGTTGGCTTTGTTAGAACTTTGGTTTTAAAAGGATTACAATTTACAAAGTTTCATTCTCCTTTGAACTTTATGCTTGACACCATCATAATGTTTTTAAAAACAGAATTT